CTGGAAAGATTTTATCTGTAGGGGAGATGGCACGATTGTTTTACCTACTTTTTGCTTTATGTTCTTTGAATAATTTTATAATTTGAGGGGACATGCTCATACCTAGTCTTCATTTTATAGCGAGAAATAGACCCAGTATAGTAGTGATATTCTCAGTTCTATAGCTAGTAATGGAAGAGCCAGGACTAGAATCCTGGTCATTGGATCCTTACCTTTGAATTCTTAAGAATATAATGAGCCTCTCTACCTGTTGAAGCAACTATTGAATAATGGATGAGCTATAAATGACTTGTCTGTCAGTGCTATGTTGTTGAACTATTTTGTGGGAAGAGACAAGTGACTAAATTGTATCGTAAATGCTAGTGCATGATGTTTTATAAAGATATTTTAGAATTCTAGGAGGATTGTTGATAGGCCTTGAATATCAAAAGTGCTCTGAATTATTAGGTTCTATGCAGAGAATGCTGAGGATATTGAAGATTGGTGGTTATGTGTGGAAAGAACATTATATTCGGTGTAGATGGCATTTTGTCTTATGAACTCCTTGTCTCCTGAATACAACCTGAAAACATTTGTGGCCAAGTAGACCCCTGTAAGTGCAGAACTCTCTAGTTTTCTGCCCTTTATCTCTTGATAAAGGAGCAGACTATGATTCCCTTTCCCAGGACCAGTAGGGAGGAAAACCACTTTGGTCTGTAGATCACTCAGATGCCTTCCCTCTGCCTCTGTGCCCCGTCAGTTCTCACCTCCTGGTTTCCAGGAGAATTAAAGCTTTTGGGCACTTTAGGAAGAAGACATGAGTGTTGAGCAGGTTTTAGAGGCCTGGGTTCCTCTACCCTTCTTCCCTGCCAGCATGTGTTACAGCGTCTACCTTCAACACTCTAAAAGTTTTAGCGACCCATAATGTTTTTTAAAAAGCAAATTCATTTTTATCTAGTTAATATTTACCTAGCATACTACTGCCAAGCACAACTTCAGCTTTATGAATATTACTTCATTTAATCCTCTCCAATCCAGTGAGGTGCATACTATTAATCTGGCCCATTTTATAGATAAGGAAGAATGGCGCTTGCTCAGGAGAGGATCAAGATTCTTCATTCTCTCCAAGTGGGCCCTGCTGCCAACTCCCAGAGCTTGTGGCTGAGTTGAGAACTGGACCAGAGGAAGATTTTGAGGCCATAGCTGAAGGAAAGTGGTGGAAGGAGCCTAGTTAGTACTAGCCTTCGAGCTGAAGTGTCCAGGGACTGAGAAAAGATGGTGGGCTGGAAGAATCTAAGCAAACAGGAGAGACTGCAGAAGGAGAGATTAACTTTGAGGAAATTTTATAATCTGAGTAAAAGAAGACAAGACTCCATTAATGAGATCCAGTGACCTTGCTGTGGCTAAGTGTACCAGTGTGAGAAATACACTGCATGGCTTCCTTGTCTTGACATCACCTTGAAGTATAATTAGGTGTAATAAAAAGAGTCCTTATAAATTCTCAGATTTTTCTTTTTGAATTTCTACAAGTTTCTATCTATACTGTTCTTTTTCTCAAGAACTAACATATAAGTTTAAAAAAAAATTAAAAATCCTTTAGTTTAATATTTTTGTTTTACTAAATGGATAGTATATCCATAGCTTAAATATTTTATTGATTATGATTTTATTATATATTTCTTAAAAATTTCAGTTATATTATGGCTCATGTAGCATTATAGAAGAGCCTGAAGAGTTCTAATGCTGTTCCCATGGAAATGGGTTTATCCTGCAGATAAACTTTGAACTCACCTGTCTATAAATTGAGACTGCCTTTTTATAATATTTCCTTTTAAGGTGATTAAAATAAATGATTTTGAGATTATTTGTAGTACTCTTATTTATACTATGACATGTTCTTAATAATTGAGAATTAGTTTAAAGCCAGTCTTTTTTTCATTCCATTTTATAATTGTCTTGGTTACATTAAAGGTTCCTAATTTAGATAAGGTGTGTATATAGACAAAATGAATATTCTCCAAAGCAGTGCAATAAATGGCTTTAGAATGCCCCATCATACTCTACTCTCTATAGCTTCCTAGCCTTCATATGTTTTTCTAGTGTGAAAGTATTAAGTCCTCAGATTACTGTCATTTAAATAGCCAAGACCAACTGTCCTATCATACATTAAGTCTTCACTTATTGTAAATATTCATGACAGAAGAAATCAGGTTTCTTGACTCAGAATGTGGTCTTTCTTTTGAGATTCGTTAAAAGGCACAGTCACTTGTTTTCAATGTTTTTGAAAGTCAGTACTTTAGTTCCTTTTATCTCTCCTCATCCCTGTCTTAAGTGCCCATTTATTTATTTATCTACTTATTTATTTTACTGAGACGCAATTCACATAACATAAAATTAGCCATTTAAAAGTGAATAATTCAGTGGTACTTAGTACATCTACAACTACTACCTCTATCTAATTCTAAGACATTTTCATCACCCCAAAATAAACCCCACACATACTCTACATTCCTCTTCCCTGTTGCCTTAGGTTACCTTTTTTAAAATTTGAAATCGAGAAATTAAAAAATTAACAAAACTCTACGAGGTAATTGAAATATAGTATAAGACTAGATATAGAATACACTGTTCTAAATTCAATAACAAGAAAAAAATATTCAGTGTACTTATGGTGGAACAATTAGATCACAAAATTGTATGTATTGTGTATATATTTACAACTATAGGGTTAGAAAAAAAAACACTTGGTAAGAAATACACAGAAGTAATAGTAATTTTGCTCCAGATTTTCTTTTCCTCATTTAAAAGAGGGAAAAATATCTTTATAATTAAAAAAACAACAACAACTCTAAATAGTTAAAAACTTGGGCCTTACTATTGTAATTATTTATTTCAGGATAATACTAAACATCAGGTTCGTTGTTGCTGTTGTCATTGTTGTTGTTTTTATATTTTTCCAGTGTTTCTTAATATTTACAAAGAGAAAAAGAGATTTGCCAGAGGAACAAACGATAAGATTTGTAGTTTTTCAGTCTTCCAAATTATATCTCAAATAATGAATACTTGTTTTATGTAAGCTGTTATCTAAATTTTTTTAAATGTTTTTTAGGACTTTCTTTTTAAACTATAAAAACATTGTATTCTTGTTGATATAAATGAAATACCACAGCGGCGTACAAATAAAAAGCCAACAATCTCCCTCACAAAATAATCTTCTCATGTAGCTGCCTAAAATAATTGTTGTTAGCAGTTTGGCAGATATTCTTCTTAGCCTTTCTGTCATGCAGCTTACATAAACATATAACAAAATTGGACCCAACTGAGTCAGAAACTCAGATGCCTTCAGGATGGCAGTGGCAATTAATGTAAATGTGTGAATTCTCTTAAGAAAGGGCTGTTGGCTAACTGGAAGGGGATTTTACTACTCAAAGTTTTTATATTCAAAAATAGAGCCCTGTGCTGGCCAGAAAGGCAGAGTCCCTTGGTATATCACTGTGCTTTTATTCTTCTTAGCCCCTTCCTCCCCTCTCAGACAAATACAGAATGAACATATGTTGTAGATTTATTTAAGTCATTATTAGGAAACCAGCAGCATGATAAAACTGTTTCCAGGAGCATTCGAAGAATTGAGTATATGTAGACATTGAAGAAAGAACATTGAAATAAATTGCTAAACTAGATACAAAATTGGTTAACGTCCTATAGGATAGTAAAACCATAACCTTTGGAGTCTGCTGGACAGAAATGATCTCTGCCAAATGAAAATCTACAAATTTACCTTAACTTCATAGAATTTGGGTCCTAATCAATGGTAAATAATAGCAGATCAAACAATGGTACTGTAATAAAATATCTTTTGGAGGACTTATTAAAAATGTTTCATTATGCATTGAAAGGGTTTACAGTTCTTGATTCACCTTATTCCCAGTTATGTTTAATTTTTCTTAACAGTGAGAAAGCCCTGTTGTGATGTATAAGGCAAGAGCAATACAATAGGAACCAGATTTTTGAAGAGCTTAGTATCTTAAACCAAGAATTTAAACTTTCTTTCAACAGATGTTTATTGAGCACATGTTATGTGCCAGACAGTGAATTTACCGTAATTCTGAGTGTGTGGTTGTTCTGTGGTGCCCCTCCTATGCCCCTAGGAGGCTGACTAGTGGTTCTCAAGGAGTTGTATTATTAGGGAGTCATCTGGGAAGCTGCTTTTCTCAAAATACACATGTTCTTTGTCCTTCTGTCCCCACCCCAGCGTAGGTGTCTCTGCTTGAGTAGAACATATGTGTTTTGAAAAGCTTTCCAAGTGATTTTTATATCCCTTACCTTTTGAAAATCATTGTTATATTTATTGGGCTTTTTAAAAAAATAGAGTGAGTAGACGGCAAGCAAAATTGTAATTAATATTTTAAAAGTGTTTATAGCCCTTTTTGCCTGCCTCATCCCATAATAAACTAAAATAATGTTCTGATTACACTCTTAGCAAGAATTACATGCGGTTGTCTTATTTAGAATTATATTTTATGTAACTGTGACAGTAATTTGGGAAGAACTGGGCTTATCTAGTTGTATTCTTAGATTATGCCTCTCATGAAATAAACTGAAAAAGTTGTCCTTTATAATAGTATATGATCTGAACAGCAAAGACATGTGATATTAGACTTTAAAAAAAAAAGTTTTTAATGAGAAAATAGACTGTCATTAACTTGTTGGAGACTGTGGTAAAAAGAATAAGCAATAAAGGAAAAAAGTGAATATGGGTTTAACTTTTAATTAAACTATTTTGAGTTGAGTCAACAATTAAAATGAGCAGCTGTTGTGGAACGTGCGTTTAAATTCTTTTCAGTGTAACTTTAATTAGGCAGCCAGTAAATGTATTTACGAAGCAGGGATTCGTGATTTCAGTACATCTAAGCTGCCATGGAATTTATAACTTAATCACAGGATATGATATTACAGATTAGGGGAGAAATTTGAAAACAATGTGATACAATTGGTATATTGTGTATTTTTCTTTTTGTTAGTGTGCAGGTCCAACAAAAGCCCCTGGGTCTGTTTGACTTGTTCAAGTGTCCACTGTGGAAGGTAGGTGACATACTTATTACTCACTACTTGATTTTTTTAATTTGCCCTTAAGCTTTGTGTCAAAGGTATATTGATTTGGAATTATTTAGCATCATAGCTTAATCATAGTATGTAATTCTCTATAAGATTTCCCTCCCCTTTCACTGATACAACTGAAGGAAATATGGGGCGGGGGGAAATCCTTTATATTGACACTCAGAATTGACTTCATTTGATGATCAAGATAATTTAAATTTAGTAATCAAAAAGATGAAATAAGGGAACTTTGAAATCTTTAAATAAAAGTTTACCTTATGGTTGTTTTTTAAACCTTTTATTAGGGTAAATTTAATTAAGCATATACAAAAGTAGAGAGATAGTATAATTGAATTCCATATTTTCATAACCCAGTTTCAACAATCATCAACACATAGCCAGCCAGTCTTGTTTCACTTCTTACCTACCCCATCTCCACCTTTACTGACTTTTGATTCATATCCTAGATATCACATCATTCTTCCGAAGATAAAACAAAACACTAAAATATTTACAGACAAAGGAATTCCCTTGAAATGCTGTCACTGTAAAGTTCATAATTACTCAGATGTACCCAAAGTTGTATTGTTCCATGAAGACATTTGCTTTCCAGAGACTTAACTTCCCACTCTACCCCCAACCCCATCCCAGTTCAAGCTAGAGCATTTTCTCCCCAGTTCTTGGCTTCAAAATGATGTTACTTAGAAACTTTAGTAACTCTTTTAACACAAACTGAAATAAATATCAACTTTTGTGTTCTTTTAGCCTGGCAGTAGCACATTTGTATTTATTGCTCTTTTAGCTGAGAAAATCCACTTTGAATTTGCTTCAGAGTTAAAAGCTTAGCAGCAAGGAGATGAGAAATCATACTAAGTCACAGGCTAAAATCTATATCATTTATCAGGACTGTTTCACCATTGTTTTCAAACCCTCATTGCATGACAAGAACATTTTTGTTCAGTTAATTTTTGATTTTTCACATATTGAGCCCTGCAATTGAGTATTTTTTTTCCATGTACACTTAAGAGTACCCTTGGAAAATGTTAACTGCATATCTTAATTTTGGCTGTTGTGGTTTTGAAATCTCTAGGATTTGGGGAACCTGAAAATACTTTGTACAGATAACATTTTTTTAAAAAAGAAGAAAAGTAGAAGCACTTAAATTCTGCACTTGAAGAGACAGATTCCTCTCCTAGATTTTGAGAGGTGAGAATTATAATGCAATAAAATTTATATAGTTCTGTTCTCCAGTTGTCTCATAGTGCTCTACAACCTAAATCTTGAAGGTCATGTGCCAACAAAAAGACCTGACAAACTCTCAAATTGGAGAGATTAATGTTCTTAATAGCAAGCAACAAACAATTCTCTAAGCAGGTTTTAGAAAAATAAATGGAAAATTTTCTAGTCTCTGCAGGTAGTCTGTTTCCAATTGCAAGCACTCATAAATTTAGAAATTGGACATAGTTTCAGAGAAATATGATTAAGTAGATTAAACAGATGAGAGTAGCTTGCATTTGGATCTATATTTTACATAGCTGATTTTGTGATTACATAATAATTTTCTTTTATTATATAATCCCTGATTGCCAAAGATTCTGATTTTATAGTAATTTTATATCACTTATCTTCAAGGAAGTCTTGAATATTCTTTCAACTAGGAAACATAGTTTATCAGTAGTATATTTGAGTTGTATATTCTATTGGTCTTCATGATTACCATTCAACTTGTTATTTTTCAAATTTTTGTGATTGTTAGAAATGTGTGACATATGTATTGATATTTGTCCTTTTTAGACCAGATTGTCAAGTTAAAATCTAAAATTAGATGAGGAAAATATTTATCTTTATGTTAGCCAGTTTATACATCACTGTTAACTTCTGACTGATGTATTTGAATATTGCCAAAATATTGCTAATCTTAATATCTGCAGTAATACACTGCTTACTTTATCATTTCTTACTTAAAACATCTACTGTATTTGGAAACTGCAGTGTGGTGGCTAAATAAACTGTGTAGTATGTACAAATAATCCTTTTTGAAAGTAGCAGTGCCTTTATTGTTATTGTTCAGTATTGCTTTTTCTTTAATTCCAAAGGTACTTCTCATTATAAATACTGCTATTATTGCTTTTCATGGCATAGGAAGTTGAGCTCATTAGATATTAAACTATATTGTAACTTGGAATTTACCTTTTAAATTAAATATTGGATGTTTCTTGACCTGCAATGTGCTGTCTTCTTAAAGTATATGCTTAATATGACCACTTTCTAAGCAATTATGTTTGGATTCTGAATAAATAGTAGTTAAGCATATAAAAAAATACAAATAAAATAATTGCTAGTATTCATTTATTCATGATTGCATTCTAAGCCATGGATTACTTAATTTAATCACCTAGCAATTCATGAAATATGAGTACTGTAATATCCATTTTACAAATGAGAAAACATAAGCACAAGGTTAAGTGACTCACCCAAGCTCACATGGCTAGCATGTGACAAAGCTTACTTTTGAACCGAGACAGTCTAGTTTTAAGTTTATACTTTTAATCATTATTTTGTTTTAAAATTCATTTTAGTCCACTTTTGTGGACAGAAGACCATATAGTCACAAATGTTGATTATGTTTACTTCAGTGAAAAAATGGGAAAGGTGATCAAATTCTGAGTTGAGGTTAATAGTACCTCTGTTGCTTCCAAATTCCTGGGATAGGGAGACTGGGCTTGAAGTTGATTCTCCCAAACTTACCACAGCTGTCTTTCTTTCCCCAAGGTAAGTGTTGCTCCTGGCACAATAAAGATGCCTCACGACAAAAATATCACCTTAACTCTCTGAGCATGTTTATTTTGGTACCCTTTAACCAACATTGGTTTTGACTGTTCTGAGTTCTCAGTTAGGTCTTGCCTTCTACAAATTGACTGCTTTTTAGGCACTGGGAGGTTTTGTTTTATAAGGGTCTTCACAGTAGTGGTCAGTTACAGCATTGTATAGTAGGCGAAAGTGTAGATGAATTTGGGTGCACACCTTGTGCATACGAACCCTTATTTCAATTTCATTTTGCTTTCCATAACAATGATTTACTAAATCTGAGTTGGAAAGTGTTATAAAATTCTCATACATATAGTCAACCTTTGATGATCTCTGTGCATGTGGAGAAATAACAGTTTATATAAGCTTAAGATGATTTGTGTTTTGTTTGGATTGTTTCTAAACAAATGTGTTTCCGTATGAGTGGAGCTGATTATTCAAGCGTGTGAATAAAAGATCTGAAGCCATATTGATGCAAAAGAGGTGGAAGATTATTCTGTTTCCATATCTGGCTCTCACATTTTATATTAAGCAGCAACCCAAGCAGAGCCTACAGCCCTGTGGGAAGTGGTTGAGTAATTTAGTTTACAAAGGTTGTCTTTGATAATAACCTAAGTTGGGAGTTGGCATTCTGAGAAAGGCTTAAAAAAAAAGAAAATAGCTATAGCAAAAGCATCTCTAAAGGAGTTGATAAGTGATAATGTCAGTAGTATTGAAACTGATTTGCATAGATAATTCCTTTCCTGGCCCTAGTCTTGTATATACTGTAATTAAAAGTTGACAGTCGTATTTGATTGCAAAACATATTTTAAGCACAAAGCTTAATAAATCACTAAATGATTGAATGCACTTATAAGAAAGAATTTTTTTCTCATTTTGATTTGATTACCATCTAATTTTATCATCATCTACTATTTTAACTTCCAAAGCAATATTTAGATTAAAAAAATTTTTCGTTTGGTTTTTGTAAGGTATGTGAATGGCCATGCAAAAAAACATTATGAAGATGCACAAGTACCCTTAACCAACCATAAGAAATCAGAAAAACAAGATAAAGCTCAGCATACAGTGTGTATGGATTGTAGTAGCTACAGTACATACTGGTAAGTATTAATATTTTTCTGGAAATAATATTTCTTACTATGAGTGGACAAGTGTTTTCTCATTTCTCTTGCTCCTTTTCCCCACCAATCTCTAATTCAGTTGCTACTGCCATTACCTCTTTTTAGTTCTGTTAGGATTCACAGGGGACTGGAGCTATCAGGAATACCTGCCCTATTCATTCAGATTTTATTTTGCATTGTTCTTTTCAACTTCTAGGCCTCATCTTCTTTCTCACCTCCTGTTCTTATTCATTCCAGTAAGCTTCAGGAAAATGAAAAGTATCTATTTCTTTATTGTTGTTCATTATAATTCCTTAATTTTCTTGTTTTTAATTGAAGAATAACATGATAAAAATGCATGTTCAAAAAAAAAAAACCAAAAAACAAAACCTATGTTCCTGCTGCACAAGTTAACATTGTTACATCATCTTAAATTTTTAACTTCTTTGTTTAAAAAGTTATTTTGACATTCTCCGTCTCCCAACACAATTCCATTCTCTTCTGTAAATGTCAAGAATTTCAAGTGTAGGTATTTTTTTAAAAAATATCACATCCTTTAGAAAGAGATTGGAGGCCTTATTCTCTTTTTGTAAGATAACATGTCTGTTTCATATAAATCGGGGTCCCCAACCCTTGGGCCGCGGACCAGTACTGGTACATGACTTGGTAGGAACTGGGCCACACAGCAGAGGTGAGCGGCAAGCAAGTGAAGCTTCATCTGTATTTGCGGCCGCTCCCCAGCTCTAGCATCACCTTCTCAGCTCCACTTCAGATCATCAGGCATTAGATTCTCATAAGAACACTGGTTCCTGGTGCCAAAAAGTTTGGGGGCCACTGAATTATAAATGATAATAAAGTTAAGTATCTATTTTTGTGATTACTTAGATCTAGGTTATTTAGGTTACAGTGGTGTTTAACAATCCGTATCCATTTGCTATGCTCAGAAAAAAGTCATTGTATTTTATAGTTTGAACTTCAGTGTGTAGCAAATTTCTTTCCTTGATTAGTAAATTATAATTCTTTACTTGTTTTCATCAGTTTACAAACCTCGCAAATCAAAAGGTTTTTGACATTGAAGGAAGAAAAAGCCATTTAAAGGATCTCTTTGGAGTGTTTGTTTGTTTGTTTGTTTGCCATACAGCTCTTCACTGTCACATGAAGGCAGTACTAGGCAGGGATGGGGATTTAAAGTCCAAATACCACATTTGATTCATACTTCCTACTGAAGTTGTGTGCTGATTAGTTGCTAATTGTATTGTGAAAAGTGTTCATCAAAAGGAAGAAAAAAGGTCAGTTGGCTTCCCAAGTCTTTTAAATTTTTATATGTTTAACATTATTTTAAATTGTGGCTATTGAATAAAACATCTTAAGGTTTAGTCATTTAGATCACTCCTATTTCAGTGATTCTTTGTGTGAAAGATGTCCAGACCTGGAAGAGAGAGAAGCTAGAGGTAGATGAAGATTTCATTAAAAATGAAAATATTCTCAAGATTTTCACAGAAGGGCTAATGCTCAGTTTATTGTTATTTGCTCTTGTAAAACATTCCTTTCTATGAGAGTTATTAGCCAAGCTATTAAAGTGTTCTCATAAGTTTTTCCCCCTTTCCCTTAGGAAACTTACATACTAGAATCATATAGTTACCTAATTGACAGAACCATGTTTCTGTAACAGTGTATTTCTCTTTAGACAGCAGAAAATAAGATCATTCCTGAGGTATCTATCTCAATAATTGTTATAGGTCATGTCAACCTGAAAACATTTATTCTTTTTTTTTTTTTGCTAATAGCTTTAATGGGATAAAATTCACGTAACACAAAGTTTTAAAATGTACAGCTCAGTAGCTTTTAATCCATTTCCCATTTATTTTTTAAAAAATTAAGTTTATTGGGGTAACATTGGTCATTTATCCTTGATTTTCAGTTAGCAATGTGCATGAAATGCTTAATTGAGAGGCTTGGAAATACAGTAAAATGTGTGTGGTAGGTTTTCTTGCTATTGGTAAGATTATGAGGATTATGAGGGAATAGTAATTTTTTTTAGGAAATTTTAAGAATTAAAATTATCTTAATGTAGTGGAATTACATTCAGGTCTCTTTTAAAATATAGATTATATACTTTAATATCTTTGTATATTGCATTTTGGAGGAACACCTTTATTAAATAGAATTGGAATTTAATTTTTTAGTGTGCTAAAGTACATGTCATTTTTATGGCTGAATTGGAGTTAAATGGCAGATCTTGAACCTTGGGGAATAATATACACCATGGCGGAGGCTTCTTGGCCAATTGCCAGTCTTTTGTGTGAAGCTATACAGAGCTGCAAGTGTGTAGACACCCAGAGCTTCTGAAATGCAGGAAGGGAGCTGCAGCTGGTCATTACTGTCTCAGTTGTGGGTTTGAGAACAAAATGCCAGGGACTAACCCTGTAGCATTACAGTGGGGGCCTAAAAGGAATCTGTGATAGTTGTAAACTGATGAAGCTGTAGTTTAAATTAAAATTTTCCCCACACCTCGCTATGATTACAGAACAAAAAAAGATTTCTTTTTTCTGTATGGGGTGTGTATATATGTGTTATTTTCCAGTGCACTTTAGTAATTTCACTGTTTGTAAATTTTCTTTGTACATAAATTTCTTGTGGTTAGATCAGATAATTTGCTTCAGAGGTAAAATATTGGTGTATTAGGTTTAACTGGTTTCGTTTTTAATTGTTATGCTTGTAGTCAAAATATTTTGACTTTAGCTAATGTTAAAGCTCCTTTTCCATCTCTTCTAAGCTCTTTGCTCAAAGTGAAACATACTCTGAGGCTTAGTTTTTCTATCCTTTCTTTTCCAAGAGTCTCTGCCCTGTCCTATGTTTGCATATCCTTTATGCAGTTATCACTAAACTATACCCTACTCCTACATCCAATTGTAGCTGGATGTAATTTCTCCTAAACTTGTAGTTCTTGAGGTGCTTGTAATTTTCTGCTGCACATTAGATATTTGTAAATATCCTTGAGGACTCCAGGAACCATGTATCAGATCTTTGTATCTTCCACAGTACTCATTGTCTGGTACAGAATAGTGTATGTTAGAAAGATTGAATTATGTTAACTATCTCTCCAAAATGGAGAATGTTATACCAAATCTGTGATATTGTGCCCTCTGATCATCTTGGGCCACAGAACAATTTTCCTGAAGACCTAAAATCATGGCATATGTGAGTTATTTCATTTACCTCCCAAGAGGGACAGTCTTGCAGAGCAGCTTCCTTCACTTCTGATATAAACTGGGCATCTGGAAGAAGCACATATTAACCAAACGGAACGACATAAAGTGGGTCACTATTTTAAAAGTGGGAAAGCAACACCAAAGGGAATTATTTTGATTTGATACAAACCCACTCCTTTAGTAGATAAGTCATGTTTACTGAGCTGTTGGAGGTAAGTGAAGATTTCAATAAAAATTAAAATCTTACCAGGATTTTCTTTCAAGGGCTAGCATTTAATTTCATTGTTTGTTAAGTAATATTTTCTTTCATACTACACCAATTTCTCTCCTCATTAATACAAATAGAATTGTATATGGTATACATTATTGTATCAAATAGAAACAAAGGTTAAAATTAGGAACTTTGATTTGATTTGATGTAGATAGACATTTTGAGTTAATAGATTTAAAATACCAAACAAATAATTTTTGACATCTGACATAGTCTTGTCAACTTTGATCCTTATCAACAATAGCTGAATCTCTGAGAAAGCAAAAGTATGAAAGGAATATTAAAACTTAAATTACTAGATTTTTTCCTTCTTGGCAGGGAAATGTTTTAAAGTATTTCAAACAAAGAAATATTATGAAATGTAAATCAGTTCATTCGTCTAGAAAAAAAGATTTGTATTCAGATTTTAAACACCTATAATAGTAGCGGTTTTAATTAAAACTAATAAAACTTTCATTTATGGGCTTAAATCGTTACTGAATCATTTTCAAAGGCAGTTGAGATTAAAAATAAAAGGGGAAAAAGCTTTTGTCAACTGTCCTTATAAACTATTTGGAAACAAATTTTCAGTGGTGTAAAGATTAGAGAACAGGAAGAGTTGTTTGTTTAAAAACAGTGTGTTGAAGTTTAAAAAGAAACCATTTAACAGAGGTGGTCTGAAAACAAAAAAGGCTCGTTCTTAATAAAAGCTGGTACTTCTCTGCTTTTAACAAAGGATATGGGTTTTCTCTGCAGATATTCGTCCAGTTTTTTAAAATTGGCTTATTCGATGGCACTACATCAGAATTTAATGAAGGCAAATCTAAAAATAAGTTTGCTTTCAAAAAGAGTTCTTTTGGATCTTAATTTCTTGATTTGAAGTAGATGAAATTACTAGAATATTAACTTGTTTTTTTTCCACCTGTATTATACCTGTCATTTAGAATAAAACCAGAGGTCAGATTTGCCGCTAGATATCAAAATATTATTCAAGGGAATGAAAAGGAATTTAAAACTTAATGATGGATCTGCCATTGCCCCCTTCTCGAGGGTACTTTTTGCATAAAAGTTTCTTTTTTTGGGGAGGGGGGTAGTATTATACATGACACTGTGTAAAGAATGCCTTGTAGCCAGTAGATTAAAGGACTTTTTTATTTACTGTTGCATAAAAAATGAAGTTCATTTGTATGATGATTGCTTCGTGTTTCAGATGGGTGGAGAATGGTTTGGTTTAGGAATATTAGTTCTTTAATAATATGATGTGGAACCTTATGACGGGTAGCTTCAATAGTGCTACTAACAGGAATGGAAAAAAACCTTAGAATTTTAAAGCCAAGAAAGAGATTTTTCTGTTTTGGGTGTGACATCTGTGCCACTTGAGCAATTAAAAGTGGCTAGTTGGACTTCAGGAATGTTTTGTTTTAATTAATATAAGTTAAATTGCCACATATGGCTGGTAGCTATTATATTAGACAATACAGCCTCAATCTATTAAAATTTAACCTTGAGAATATTAATGTTATAAAACTTTTATTTTT